GGAAGCGTTTTTCGCTCGATTTCGAGTGATTTTCCGTAGCAAGTAACTGCTTGTTGGTATTCACCTTGATTGTCTTTTAACCATCCAAGCTGATCATAGATGTATGCCCGGTCACTATCATCAGAAGCATTCTCGAGTAATTCATTGTAGAGTTCCTCAGCTTGATCGAAATGACCCACTTTGAGCATTAATTGGCCCATTCGATACCATCCTTCACCGTTGATCTCGTCTTTGATGCAATCAGTAAGACCAGCCAGTTGTGGATCACTCTCGTCAGTAATAGTCAACTGTACTTCCCAAAGACGACTATTCTCAGCCGTCTGTTTAATTTCACCAACACGAAAAACAGTGTGCATTGTAAATAGAATTTCTTGTTCTCGTGGAAGAGCACTTTGTTTATTAATCATAGCGAATGGTGTGATTGAAGTTGATATTTTACTTAGATCTATTGTCATAATAAACGTAACACCCACAATATCTGGATTTCTCTCTAGGACCTGTTGAACAAATGATGTGGCCACTTTTTGTTTCTTTAGATGAATTCAATTATTATATCGTCTTAATAGAAGGATCCGTCCCTTGTTTTTCTTCGGATGTCGTCGTAATGATGATTTATGAGGTACAGTAAAACGTAGTGAACGTACTCACTCTGGTGAATTTCTGTGGAATATTCAGAAATCTATATTTTGTTCAGCATCTTTGTACTGATTGAGTTCAATTTATTTAATTTAAAAACTGATGATATAACGGTGTGAGCACTGTTAACAACGAGTTAAGGAAAAACATGATACCATTATAGAGATTCATGAAATCATATATTGAATGAAAAATGTTAATTTTTCAATAGATAATTTGAGTTCTTACACGTAATTGTGGGTGTCAATTTACAGTTTATTTTATTTTAAATTAAATTAAATTCTATCAAATTAGATTTAATAAATTGTTTGTATGGATACACATCATTGCTATGAGGAAAATACGTGAGTTTAACAGTAGTAAATACTAAATGAGAGAAGTAGCTAGTATTTTAGGTTAATATTTGTTCATAATAGTCAAAATTTTGGTACAGATTATGCAAGATCCGTCATCTTTCTTCTTCAAAATACCGGAATATTCGTAAAAATATATTTAATAGCACAATTTGTAAAAGAATGACTATAGCTTTAACTTTAGAAAACAAGAAACATACTCAAATTTGACGTTAAATAATAGAAATCAAGTCAAAAACTATGCTTATTTACTAGTTTTCAAAACTTAACTAATTTAAATTTAGTTAGATTTAAATGTGACACCCCTACACGCAATGAGTAGTCTCTTATTTCATAGAATGCCTTGTTTCTTTTATAGGGTGCCTATGAAGTTAGTATAATCGACTTTAACTCTGAGAGAAATCGATGCGCATACTATAGAATGAGATCAGTCTTGTCGTTGGGATACTTTCTTTTAGATAGTTACTCAAATTTTTCTTTAGGACTATTCATCATATTCTCTTTTCTTGTAGAGAAGAATATAACAAAAATAAATTGTTTGCTTGCTTACCTGCATGTTCGTACTTCACTGATTGGTCGGATAACGATGCGACCACCAAAGGAATAATTATTTAAAAACTTGACATTAAGTATTCGAACATGTGGAATCCAACGTCACGTTTTAATGAATTAATTATTAATATTATGAAAAACTTGACCAAAGGTAGTTGAAGATGCAAAATACAAGTCCGACGTCAACTTTTCGTTTTTTCAATTAGTACTTTTAAAGTGAGTTTTCTAGACTACTTGATCAAAAATTAGTCGAGGAAAACACCAGCGCCTACTATGAAAGGTTTGGAAAAAACTTCACTGGAGAAAAATCAGGTGGAGAATTGCAGTCTATCTTTAGCTAGTATTACTAATGAAGCTATAGAAGCATTTAATATGCTTCACTAGTTGCATCTTCTGAAAGAAACAGATTGAAGGCTAAGATATCGATAATAGTTAATTGAACAAATAGGTATCATACATGGAAATAAATGATTTGCAGCTGTTATTCTCAAAAGGGACGTTAAGTAAAAACCATCTATCTAACAACAAGACTGCGTTTCTTCCCGATTGTTTTACCTATTGTACCAAACATGTCTGTAATTCTTACTGATAATATCACTTGTGAGCCAGGACTCTCGAACGGTACTCAGGGAATTTTTTGAGAACTAGTATACAATGATCAGGAGAATCTGGCCGCTTTTAAGGTGAACAGTGAGATGTCTCCCTCAAATACGATCTACGTCCGTAAATCGTTGTACGCGCTAGTGGAAATCCACGCATCCCAGTGGTCACAAAACAATTTACTGTTTCCATCAAGCAACTTATTGGCCAGTTGTTCGAGAGTGGATAAGGTAAAAGAAAAGTCCCCGGATGTGTTTCAAGTTACAAGAACGCAATTGCAATCGTGCCTGCCTTCACCACAACTACTGATAAGGCGCCAGAACTGACAATGAAAAAAATTGTGATCGATCTTCAAGTTCCAGTTGTAACATTGCAAGTAGCATCTGTATATGTGCCGCTTAATGGAGTGAAGATGTGGCTATTCTTCGACTTTTCGACATAAAGGTTCTATAAGTTCGACCTTCTTATCTTGGTCCGAACGCTGAGCTGAAACGTCTAGATGAATTTGACAGAAAGACACAACGAGAATATACTTATTTTACTTTTTGAAATTGTGTGAATAAATAACTTTCTGACTCTAGCATTATAGTACATATATAAGTCGTGGCATAAATTGAAATCATGCTAAAGAAATTATCTATATACGTTCATTCTCTTTTTCTTTCATTTGTTTTTATATGTTCGTTAATTACTATAGTTGTTTCTTGACTTTCAATCTGACAGACGTTTTCCCGTGTGTGTTCTCTCAGTTTCTTCCTTTATTGTCTTTCTTCTTTCATATAATAACTCATGTAATTTTCCAGCTATATTGCTATCTTTTTGGATATCCGACGCTCTGCTTAGTGTGCTACAAATATCTGTTGATTTATATAGGGTACAATATACATTATAAAAATAGCAATTCTACGAGAAAGAGCTGAGTGAGTCGGTAGACGAGCCGTACTTGTTTCTTGGTGATATGAATTGTGCGAGTCAAAGTGAACTTTCGTACGGGCTTATCTTTCCAAGAAGAAACTGCGAGCTATGTTGTTGAGATATATTGAATTTGTTTCAAAAAGTATTTCAACAAAGAAAAAGATTTCACACCGATATTTCACTTGAAGTATACAAGAGATACAATTTTTACACATAGCAATGCGTGAGGATGAACATGCTATGTCTAAAGGAGAGATGTACCAACCCCACTCATATGCAATGCTATGCATGGAAACAAACCAAAGAAGAAACTTTAATTTACTATGATAAACGTCCCCATGAGATAAAAAATTAAGATATATTCACTGCGAAACGCGTTAATGCTGGCCGATTTAACGTGTTTCGCAGCGTTTACTATGGTAGCACAAGCGTAAAACCAATTCTTCCATTTACTCAAAACGCGTTTGGCAGCCACTATTTCAGAATGAAAACGAAAAGTATATAATCTCGCGGCATTTTTAACCGACCCAGCAGCTGCGGAACGCATTAATCCGGCCAACATTAACGCGTTTTTCAGCATTGAAAAGTTACGAAATTTTTTACATGGGTCAGATATAACAATATTATAGTAAAAACACAATTACTAACATAGAACTTTGTTTTGATAATACCTATTCTCAATTTGCAGCTATTCTTTCATGTTAAATTCATGTATCATCGTACCCTTTTATGTGCCTCTGCAATGGTGTCCATATTTTCTCGTAACTTGTTGGGTTCCCCTAAGCGGCGCCCACAGATAAAGCATTTATCAACAGAATATAAGAAAAACTAAAGGCGACAAATAAAATATTCAGTAACTATTCCATTTGCTCAGTTAATTAATTATTTGCTCAACATTAAAATTAAAATTTCAGTAATTAATTCAGTTTACTGTTTCAAAAAAAATACATTTACTCAGTAAAAAATAGTGTTTCTGCTAGTAATCACTGTTATTTTTTCGATGTATATTTTGATATAAATAGAAAAACATTTGCCCACATTGACTGACGATGACATCATCAGTCAAAAGATACTATGTAACATATGTTGTCCTACTTATCGATGTCATCTTTTCTTGACCAAGTTTTATATTTTATTATAGCTGTTCTCGATTTAACAAAGGAGAAGATTTTCGGCCTCGTCCCTTTGTTTGCTCTTTTCTCTACCCCTATATAAATAATTAGCTCGCTTTTTAACTAGGCTGAGTTTTGATTTACCAAAACTAATACTACGAACTTGATTTTAAAATCTTAACGACGATGAAAATTGTTGAAGTATCAACTTATGTTTCTGACGATGAGATGGAAACAAGAAAAGAGTGAAAAAGAGACAACGCAACTCGATAGAAGAAATGGCGCCGAACAACATCAAAGAAGCTGAAGAAGCAGTGATCAAAGAAGATCAATGGAATTATCATTATACCAACACAACAGGCGCAGGAAGAAAGACGTTTTTTCAATGTAATAAAGCCAACAGAAGTAAAAGAATTGTACAAGAATTATTTGAATTAAAATTGAAACTGAAAGCAATAATTGAAATGCTTCATGAACGTGCAAGTACAGTACCAAGTATTCACCAATTAAATAGCTTTTTAAGAACCGTTAAGAGTACAGAACTTGGTTCAACTTCAATTAGTCTTGGTAAAAATGTACAATGGTGCTTAGAATCAAGTCAATCAATGCCAGAATCAGATGATACTCCTTTTTTTGCATCATATGAAATTATTTATGATAAGATTTATATTTCGTAGTTTACAAGAAGGTATGCAATATTTGAATTTAGAAGAAATTAATCCAGATTTTTTAATTGCTGACGGAGCTGGTGTCATATGTAATGCTTTTCAAAGTGCTTTTGGAGAAAAAACAATGGTAATGTATTGGATACATATGCGTAGAAAAGTGGTGAAAAAGATAGAATCTATGGTCAAAAAATCAGAACAAGAAGATTCGGTGAATGATATAGAATCATTATAATTAGCACAAGATGAACGTATATTTATAATAGGTTCAAATTTATTTGTTAAAAAATGGCCAAAAAAGGAACCAAATTTCATTGAATACTTCCAAAACGAATGGTTAACAACACATAATGCATGGCATGAAGGAGTTGGCCATTTTACACCACGTACCAATAATACTTTAGAAGCCACAAACAATGTTATTAAAAAAAAAGGAAAATACACTTCGTGAACGTCTACCTTTATCAAGATATAACGTATTAGCATATGAAATTGTTGAGAAATGATCGAAATGTTATGAACAAGGTTTAAAGAAATACAATTACAAGCAGACAATCTCATTAGAACTGTGAACAACAGGATATCAATGGGTTAAAGCAAACAAATCAATACTTTCGACTGAATGTGATAATTTAGTTCACTATTATATACCAGCTGGAGGTGAAACTAAAATTACAAACTTCGGAATTGAGGTAGTGAAGAAGATGAAATGATGCTCCTTTGATCAGTATTAAAAAAATAGCATTCAATATTTTTGGTCTATTACATTGTACCAGTAGATAAATTAAATACATAATGTTATGGCAGGATATATCTGTTGTATTTAAGTTGGTGTTAGTGTTTGAAGAAAAGGGGATTATTATTTTCTGTGATAAGGTAAAAAGAAGAAGATTGTAACAGAGCTTAATACAATTTTAAAACATGCCATCACCCTTGAATTATTTATAGATATTTTTATACTCGTTTTAAACTTATATAATCATTTTTTAGATTATTTCTTGTCTATAAAAACAACATTAATTTCTTTATTGGAAAGAATAGAAAATTGTACTTCACTATTTTCGCTTGGTATATTGATCGAATACTATTGTCAAACACTTTCAAAAAGAGAAACAACATATGTGAATGGTATCTAGATGAATTCAATTATTATATCGTCTTAAT